GGCAGGCCAGAGTTGGCTACTAGGTGAATACTCGCACGAGCAGTTTCCCAAATGTATCTGACTGCAATTGGAGCCAGATCTGGATGAATCCGACGGCAATCACGTCCAGAGTTTAGCGGAAGGAGTCCTAGTGTGAGTATGCGCTCATGTAAATGCTGTGTAACCGAGCCCGAAATCGTGGAGGGATTCGACAACGGCTGCAACCGAACCCCACCGTCATGACATGGTCGTCTCCTACCACGCATGTCATTCTCCCAAACGCCTCTTTTTCCCCTTTTTTTTTCCTTATTACTATAGAACGAAGATGTTGAGGACGGATGTGGCTGCTACGGGGTTCCCCGTAATGACAATAAAAAAGGCCTGAAAGGCCGTCCCGTCCAGATTCGACAGGTAATTGAATTGGTTGGGCTTAAAAGGGGTAAAAAAAAAAAAAAAAAAAAAAAAAAAAAAAACACAGAAGTCCAACGAAGAAGTCGACCTCGTTGACGAATTGGAGAAAAGAGAAGGGGCCACGGTTGACGGTTTGAACTACAGTCTTTCCCCGAACACAAGCAGCCTGATCATGATGTATACAAGCTATTTTTCCAGTCCGATGCAGTCATAATCAGGGTGTTTTGTGTTTGAGGGACGAGGGGTATTTCTCATCTTGGCTGGACCTGCAGTCTGGTCCCCTTGGCCAGTTGACGGTTCGTTTTATTCTTTCTTTATTTGACTGTTCCTACTAGATCGACTGCTCGACTTCTTTTTTTTTTTTTTTTTTTTTTTTTTCAGCCCAGGGTGTTATAGAGGACCCGCAGTGATCGCTGGTAGCGGCAGCCAATGGTTGTCCTGACAGGGTAGGCCACCTACCCTACCCATCCCCACGTTACGGGGCCATAGCCAGCTCTCTTAGCTGCAGACTTACGTACCTTGGGCCTGCCGCTTTGTTGTTCCCACAGTTCGGGTAGTGGGTAGGTCTGAGCGTATCAGGGCCAGCCTGGGTTGTTCTACCTTTTTCTTTTGGATCTTCCCCCTCAGGGGACCCACCCACCCTGCTTTCCTCAATCCTCTCTAAGGCTTGCGCAACCCCATTCCCTCAGGCCTACCTCAGTGCCTACCACTCAGGACAATCACCCCTGTACCACGTCTTGGTGGGGGTGGGATGACCTCGCAGCCACCGGTGATATAGAAGATATCCGTGCAACCCTTGTTATGTGGTAGCCAACGTGGTTAGAACTCTGGAGTTGCAAGGGAGAGGCTGTGGGCTTAAGTTTGTCAGCCCTCAACCACCCTGCACACAATCAAATGGTGGCATTATGGTGCTAGGGTAGCGCCCGGAGTCGGCCATGTAGTACAGCATATTAGAAGTGCATGCACAGATCAGGTGATACAACAGCTCGGTGGGTAGAGCTAGGTTCAGCTAGCCGTCGTAAGGGAAGAGATCAAAGAGCTCCAGGGACTCCAGGGGTCAATTCCCATCGGCCCATCACATAGTATAGAAATAGCTGAGGTGCAGGCAGATATGGAACACCTACTAGGCCTTGTGGGGTAGATGAGGGCTTTTGCTTTTGGGGGGCACGGCCGCAGATGGGTGGGGAAGGGGTCTGCCAACAGCTGGGGCTTTCTGGGGACTTGGGTGCTGATCCCTCAGGGGGAGCAGGGCTTTCTGGGGGGTTAGCAAGGGCCTTGGGTGTTGATGAGGGGACTTGCGGCAAGGGGCCTTCTGGGGGTTAGGCAGTAGTGGGATTGCCTGCTTCCCATGTTGACAAATAGAGCAGAATAGGCCCAGTTGATGACCGAGGTATGGGAGTGTGACGCCCCAACCTCACGCCCCGTGTGACTTCCTGATCGGAGTGTGAGTGGGCCTGGAAGTGCGAAAAGGGGGTGTGCCAAGGATTTTAGGAAAGTGGGGGTGGAGTCCCAGGTTGGAACTGAGATCTCCTGTGGCAGGTTTCAGGGATAGGAATGCATGAGGATAGGCGCGGGTCGAAGTCTGTTTCTATGCTTCTGGGCTACCACCTCTGCTGGCTTCGTCGTCTGGGTCGGGCTTGTATTTGGTGCATGGTCAGGACTCTACGGCTATCGCGCTGTCCGACCACCTGTTGGCGTCGTGCGTCACTGGTCTCAGAATCCGACACGGCTGGCCTCAGCCGAAGGCTGTGCGCCCGTCGTTCTTCCTCCGAGCGAGCTCGTCGGATGAAACCGGAGGCTTGGTACTCGTGGTCTTGCAAGCACTCCGAGCACGGGGGTTGGGGCCAAAACGGAGCGATTGCGCACCAGGGGATGATGGTCAGCGAATGGAAGGGCAGTATGAGGTGGTAGGGAGGGAAGTCGGTTTCCAGAATAATTACTCCCGGTTCCGCGACAAGGTGACACGTGTACGAGCTGGGGAATTCCGAGTGGTGAGGGATGCGCTCTCGAGCTCGGTCGATGTCCCACTTGCAAATACGCTCGTTTCCCACTGGGTATGGAAACTCAGGAAGTTCTCCCCTCGGTCATGCAGACAGACACACATTCTCCCAATACTCCCGAAATTCCGGATCCCTCAGACACTCGCGGTCGGTAATACGAAAAGGGAGTTCAATATTCATGCTGTGGGGTGGGGCTGAAACTCAGTCATTTGAGAAGCTGGGCCGGGCGCAGGCACTGCAGACGCGCGTGTAGGCCACGTTCTCCCGATCAGGCTTCCACGTGCGTGCACAAGGCCTGCCCTTCACTCCGATGGACAAGACCAATGACCCGCGTCCTATGTATCCCCGGCGGCCGCGGTCATCGCGGGCATGACCGTGGCCCATGCGGTCGACCGTAGGCCCGCGGTCATGACCGCGGCGACCGCGGTCGAAAAACGCGCGCCGCAGGCAGGGGAGGGGGGTTACCCGAGGTCGGGTTCGGGATTCCGCGGGCGCACCCCAGGCCCCACCCCCCTACATTGAAAAAAAAAAAAAAGACTTAAAAACAGGGGGGTCCATTTTAGGGGGGGGTAAGAAAAATAATGGACCCCCTTTCATTGTTTTGTTTTTACTTTTTTTTTTCTGTTGTATTGAACCATCGCGAAGTTTTTT